TGAAACTCACGTTGGGTGTGTGGACATGTATGCCTAAGATCCTGGGAGGAAAACAGAGAAGGGATTGAGATGTGGCCACTTCCCCTAAAGTGAGGGGTTAATTCCTCACTTTACCTTCCCCTTTCTCTTCCCACCCCTAGCCATGGCAAGTGCAAGAACTCCAAGGTTAAAACATTTTTTAAAAAAAGAATTATTTTATTCAACTTATTATCATTTAATTTGACCAGAGACAGAAAGCGGGAAAGAGAGAAAGTTTTTTGGTGTGGGACTCAACCTGCAGTCAGTCATTTGGGAGTCCAGCGCCTTTAACCACTACGCCACCTACCAACCCCAGGCTAAAACTACTTTAGAAAAAAAAAAAATTACTTTAGTGGGGCCAGCAGGTGGTGTGGAGATTAAGGCCCTCAATTTCACATGGCTGATTCTGCTGAGTTCCAGACCCAAGAGCTTGAAGATCACACCCAGCATTTGTCATGCCCACCCAAAATCCTGAGGGGAGAATGGAATAGAAAGGACTACAGTATAGCCATCACCCCTGGACAGTGATTTCTAACTTTCCATCGCTCGCTCGCGCTCTCTCTGGCAAACATACACCCTATAGCAAAAACAAAAACAAACGAATGAAAAGACTTCTGCAACTTTGCAGGATACAAGGTCAGTCCGTATATATGGAATCCTTATTCCTGAGCCAGCCAGGACTCTGCACTGGGAGCCAGATCCCACATGGCAACTGTAGTTCAAATGCTGGCCCCAGTGGCTTAAAAAACATGTGGTATATTGGGAACCAGCAGTTAGCGTAATGGCTATGTTGCTGGATTCCCACGTAGTCGACCACGGTTTGCATCCTGGACCCGGTGGCTTAAAACTCATGCCGGGCACGTGTGCATGCATGCCCAAGATCCCGAGAGGAGAATGGAGGAGAAGGGATTGCAGCGTGACCATCCACCCTGGGGGGTGATTTCTCGCTTTCTGTCTCTATGTTTCTCTCTGGCAAGCGCACGTGCCCTATAGCAAAAAAAAATCTCTCCAAAAAAAACCAAAACAAAAACATGTGGTATAATGGTGCCCCAAATCCTGATGAGATGGAGAATTGGAGGAGAAAGGATTACAGTGTAACCATGTCCCATTTGGAGTTGCTTTGTCTCTCTGGTGAGTGCACATGCTCTCTGACAACAGAATTAAAACCAAACAGACAACCTTAAAAGTATAATTGGAATTTGAAGTAAAAAATAAATTTAGCACCAAAAATATGTAAAGTACCAAGGTAACATCTAATAAAATATTTACAGAATCAAAGAAATCAAAGAAAATCTAAGTAGACACACACTGTACTCAGAGATTCGAAGACTCAACATTAAGACGTGATTTCTCTTACTTGACCTACAGAGTCAAAGCACTTTCAATAAAAATTCCAGAAAACTTTTTGGATAGATAAGCTGGTTTGATAATCTATACAGAAAGGTAAAGAAATAAAGATACCCCAAACAATTCTTTTAAAGTAAGGAGGAAGGCTCACACTACCCAATTTCAAGGTTTACTATAGTCACCAAGGCAGTGTGTTAAAGGCAAAAGAAATGACACATTATTAGCATACCACAGTAATAACTGTTGCAGGCAAGACCCACAGAAGAATGCTAAAATTACTGGGTGAAACTTTAATGAGAAACTAAGTATTTGCATTACAAAGCATTTCTTCTAAAACTTACCAATTGCTGTGGTTATTCTACATGTCCATGCAGTCTTTGACAGTCCTTTCTCCAGGAAGCAAAGACTAATTTTCTCTCCCATTGAGTCTATAAACTTCTGTATGCTCAGTAAATCACTTATAAAAACAGAAAGGAACAAAGAGCAATCGTACTGTAGAAAAATCTGGCAGACCTCAGTATCTGCCTTGACAAGTACCACCTGACGTAAGAAAAAGAGGACACATTGCATGTGTGCTATCTTCCCCAGAATTCCTAACTGCAGGTGAATCACGAGAAAAACATCAAACACAAATTGAGGAACACTATACAAAATTTGTGACCTTTTATCTTCAAAAGTCATTAAAGACAAAAAGAAAAACTGTGATAGATTGGAAGAAATTAAGGCATGACAACTAAATGCAATGGAGTATTCCTCATTAGGTTTTTTTTTTTAAGCTTTTTACTATAGGGCATGTGCTCACCAGAGAGAGACAGTGAGAAGTGAGAAATCACCCCCTCAAGGGGGATGGCCACAATGCAATTCCTTCTCCTCCAAACTCCTATCTGGATTTTGGGCATGCACGCACATGCACCCGGCATAATTTTCAAGCTACCAGGTCTGGGACTTGAGCCACTGTCAGTCATGTGGGAGTCTAGCACTTAACCCCCATGCCTCTTGCTGGCCCCAAAGTTAATTTATTTTTGATAAGCATATCATGTTTATTTAAGTCTTTTGCATTGCCAGAGAGCAGGTACACTCTAGAGTGACAGAAGATGGAGACAGATGAGCAAGTAGCCTCCAAATGGTATGTAGTCATCACCATCTCTTCCCCATTCCTCCACTTTGTTGACTGAGCATGCACCCCCCCATTTGCTTTTCTAGCCACCAGGGCTAGGATCTGAGCCACGGTCAGACATGTGAATTCTGGCTGCCTTATGTACTAGGCGAATGGGCAAACCCAGTTCTCTAAGATATTAACAATGGAGGAAGATGGGTAAAGGGCACACAGAATTCTGCTATCTTTAGAAGTGTTCTGTAAATCTACAATAATTTCTAAACAAAAAGTTTTAAAAAATTGCCTTTCGTTACTCCTTAAAGGAAACAGATGTTTCAAATACTATAGAACTAAAATTAAAAAACTGGATATGAAGGGACCAATAGTTAGCATAATGGCTATATCGCTGGACTTCCACGTAGTTGACCACAGTTTTGAGTCCCAGACCTGTTGGCTTAAAACTCACGCCAGGCGCGTGTGCACACGTGCCCAAGATTCCGAGAGGAGAATGGAAGAGAAGGGATTTCAGCGTGGCCATCCCCCCTGGGGGTGCTTTCTCACTTTCTGTCGCTGTCTGTCTGGCCAGCGCACAAACCTGGTAATAAAAATCTCTTAAAAACAAAACAAAACCAAAAAAACTGGATATGAAGACAAGATTATCCATAATTTGAATTTCAATTTTAAACTCATCAACACAATTTTATTGCTCATTAAATAACTCATTCTCAAGGAGTGCTATAAATCTGAATTGACAAAAACATATTTATACCATTAACATATTCATTTTGGATCATGTACTGGAGCACCATGTAAAGATTCAACTAAAAAAACAGAAAAGTAAAAAGGCATGACAAGAAAATAAATGTGTGCCACCTAGTGGTGACTGAGATAAATATGATGGTTTAATGACAAAACCAAAATGAAACTATAATGAGGGTATCTGTACTTTTTATAAAAACGTGACTGAGAAAAATCCTGACAATATAACACCTAACACTGAAGACCGCTTCAATTAAAGATATTCAAAAATAAAATAGTATGTCAATTTGGAAGATTAAATTAAGAGAGTAGCTTCTGGCCACACAACCAAGCACATTTTTTAAAAAATAATTATTTAATTTAATTTTATTAATTTGCAGGTGGCATGATGGTTAGGGGCACTGGACTCCCACAGGGCTGACTGTGGTTCGAGTACCAGACCTGGCAAACCACTTTCTCTTTCTCTCTTGCTCTGTCTCTCTCTGTTCAAATTAAAAATAAAATAAGTTAAATAATTTTTTTTTTTTGGAGTGGTTTTCGCTATAGGGCTCATGAGCTCGCCAGAAAGACAAGAGACAGACAGAGACAGAAAGCAAGAAATCACCCCCCAGGGGGTATGGCTATGCCGCAATCCCTTCTCCTCCATTCTCCTCTCGGGATCTTGGGCACGCACACGCACCTGGGTGTGAGTTTAAGCCACTGGGTCCAGGACTTGAACCACGGTCCACTACATGGGAGTTCAGGGACATAACAATTATGCTAACTGCTGGTCCCAATAATTCTTAAAAAGAAAAAAAAGAAAACATCTTTACGTGTATTTCTGTATTAGCCCATATCAAATACATTACCTCTACTAAGTTATCACCTTCATTATAGAAATTTCTCTGCAACACAAGAATTGGACTATAATTGGAAAAGGCAAATAAGGAGATACCAGAGATAAGGAGAATATTCTTGAATGAGGAGGAAAAAACAAAGGACCCTAAGTGAAACAATAGCCACTTCACTTTACATAGACTAGGAAGAGCAGAAAAGAGAGGTGACATAGGGGCGTAATGACAATGAAAACTGAGGAGTCGTCAAAGGATCTAGGTCCTACTTCTCACCTCACACTATGTATCCCGGAACAGAACACTTGCCTTTCTGAATTCCTGTACCCAGATCTATGAAGTGATGTGACACAACAAAGGGATCTATATGTACCCTACTGGGTAATCACAAGAGAAATACATTCCAAAAAAATAACTTTGGTGGTATCAATAATCAGGAAACAAGATACATAATAGTACTTGGCATACTTCTGGTACATAGTGCTTCATAAATATTAGCTATTAACAGATAAGAGACTTGGGGAGGGGTTAAGAAAGGGAAGACAAAAGGAACAATGAGAGAAAGGGAAGTTAGTCTAACATAGTATTTTCTTCTTTTAAAAAAGATTTAATTTTACTTATCATTTTTTAAAATTTAGTATAGGGTATGTACACTCACCAGAGAAAGAGAGAGAGAGGTAAAGAGAGAGGGAATGGGAGGAGAAGAGTAAAAGAGGGAGAGAGAAAGTGAGAAAGCAAGCCACCAGGCGAGGGGCTCGAATCACAGTCAGCCAGGCCGCCGGATAGCTCCAACATGTAGTATTTTCTAGTCCTGGTTTTGACACTCTTATATATTTAATACCTTCCTCATAAATGTGAACTAAACATATTCTGTCATCATTCTACATAAGACACATCGTTACTTGAGGAATTCCTATGATAACCTTTTGATAAAAAGCAAGAAAACCATCTCTTTACACTCATTTTTATTAAACAAATAAGGCTGGTAGTGGAACATTTTTTTATTTAATGCATAAACATATAAGTCCCTTTATTAGAGAAATTATTGATATTGGTGAATATGGTCAATGGTCACATCTATGGGTTAATTCTTTAAAAATCAGAACCAACAATTAGGGTAGAATCTTTGCTCTCTTCATTACATTGTGAAGTGTCTTGTGTAGTCATACTCTATGGTTGGAATGACAGCTTGTACAAATTTCAAGAAAATTAGAAGATACCTAAATATCTTTAGTTAAGGAAAATAAGATTTGCAAATAGTACTGTATTTAAGTCTACAGTGTAATTATCTATTTTAAGCATTACTTTCTCAAAAAAAAAAATCTCAAATCAATTTTATTGAAGAAATTCAATCATGTAAGTTTGTGTCTATTTAACATGAAGCTTTCTATGACTTACAATCACCCATTTTAATATTTGAATTTGAAACTTTTTAAAGAACAGAAATTCATATAAACCTGATTACTTTGATATAAAAATAAGAACAAGGTTGTCCATGTTTAAATGAGTATAAAATTTACTCCTTTACTTGGCCCCTTTTACTGTTTATATGTTTACTGGAGTATGACAGAAAATGAGGCAGGATAAAGAGTATAAAAACACTGTAACAAAAAAGAAAAACCTAATAGAAACCTTTTATAATAAACTGACTCTAGGCTAGTATATGCATTTGCTATAGAATCCATAAAATCTATAGAATACTAGACTATCTTAAATAAAACTGAAATTTTTTCCATGTTACATTGTACCAGAAAACATTAAGAGCTTATTTAATTTTTACTGGGGAACCAATAATTTCATATCAGTTATATATACAAAAAAATTTTCCAACTCGCTACCTGTCCTCTAATATAGAAATGAGTCAATTATGCATAAAAAGATTTGAGAAGTAACTAGAGTTTGTACCAAAAGGTTTTGGTTTGTTTAAAAGTCAAATCAGCCCTGAGTTCCTCTGAAGGACATACTTTATTAGCAGTAATCACATTATCTGTCCTCTAAAGATAGCGATGACCACTCAGTTTACATCTAACATTAAGTAGTATGAACCACCAAATCCAGTAAACCTAGCACCAAACTGATTCAAATCAGTTGGCATCTAAGTCATAACTACCACAATTTAGCATTTTCTAAAAAAAATTTAAAGACTCCCACTAGGATTTCTAAAAATAAGGGACTAAAAGAAATTATAGGTACTGTATCATTAAAGATTACATTAAATTCTCCTCCCACATGCAAAAAAAAAAATCTTCTAAGCCATTTGCCACCAATCACACACACAGGTAAGGATACATATGAACACCAAGTTCTCCCCCTCCTTCTGCAACAGTCTCAATGATTTTCTTCATCACCTCAGCATGTCTAAAAGTGGAAAAAAAAAAATCTTTTTAGTGTAGATCAAAACAGGACAAGCATGCTTTTATTTGTGAAATTTACTGTACTGTTGATGAATTAATTTTTAACACGTAATAGTCATATTATAAAATAATGCCACTCTACTCCTTAGAGTGTTGAAACAGTTCCAATGGAGGAGGTAATTTTACATAGCTATGACAGTCATTACGAACACTATAGATTAGCTTTCTGATAATGGGGGCAAAAAAACAGAGAAGGGGAAGTCATGCCAGGAGACAATATGAAATAAGGCTGTCTGTTCTAAGGAACAAAAAGAATTAGACCAGACAAATTCAAAAAGTTACACAGTAATAACTGGTTAGAAGGCAAAGAGATTTCTATATTCTAAAATTCCTACTGTTTAAATAATTTAGCTGAGACTAAGCCAAAACTGAGAGGGTTCAAAATAAGCTAATTTGTCTGAGTCAAAAAGTTTATAATTTTGTTGTCCAAGTCAGTATTGTAAAATTTAGCTGATCCTATTTTTAAATCTTTTTTTGACTTTTTATGAGGAAAGGTTATGTGTCTGAAGTTTCTATACTATCCACAAATTTTTTCATGCCAACTACTGTCTCTCCTGTGCTACAGAAAAGAATGATATCAAAGTAGTTGTCTGTGGGACCAGTAGTTAGTGTAATGGCTATGTAGCTGGACTTCCATGTAGTCAACTGCAATTTGAATCCTAGACCTGGTGGCTTAAACTCATGCTGGGTGCATGTGCGTGCGTGCCCAAGATCCCGAGAGGAGAATGGAGGAGAAGGGGTTGTGGTGTGGCCATCCCCCCTGGGGGTGATTTCTTGCTTTCTGTCTCTCTCTCTCTGTCTTTCTGGCAAGCACATGTGCCCTATAGCAAAAAAACTCTCCAAAAATAAAAAGCAGTTGTCTGAATATATAAACTAAGGAAAAGGTAATATACAAAAGAAGAAATCTTTCAAATATAAACCTCAGTTTTTACAAATATATCTTTCATGAAGAAGAAACCTAGAAGATGAGAGTTAATGCATTAGCTCTGAGAATGTGAAGGCACAATCTGATGGAGCCAGTAGAAAGACTAAATGTCCTTGAAGTTTCATCTTATAGGCAATTCCCAGCTTCTTTGCTATATTTACATCTATTCCATAACACAGTATTTATTTTATGGAAATTACTAACTTAATTGCCAGTTATATTACTTATCTCTTTCCTCCACATAAGAAAAGTTTGTACCTCAGAAACAGGCATGCTTCACCTTGATAAACACTACCCTAAAACCTGAAACCATAGGGGGAACAACAAGATGACTCTCAAATATGAAAATCTTTTAGATTATATCATTCAAAACTAATGACTCCCAAATATTAGTTTTTACAGTGAGACAACACTTAACAAAAACAAATTGAAAAAATGAATTAGACTTTCTATTGTGTAAAGTTGGGAATAAAGAGTTTATAGAAAATGGAAAAAAAAAAAAAAACCAGGGAAACCTCTTGGAGACCTTGGAGTAGGCAAAAGCTTCTTAAAGAAGATCCCCAAAGCACAAGCAATAGTCCCAAAAATAGACAAATGGGACTATATTAGGCTAAAAAGTTTCCATACAGCAAAAGAAACAATAATCAGAGTGAGGAAACAACCCATAGAATGGGAGAATATATTTGCAAACTACACCTCAGATAAGGGACTGGTAACCAGAATACACAGGGAACACAAGCAGCTTACCTGCCAAAAAAAATCCAATTAAAAGATGCATAAACGAACTGAACAAACAACTCTCCAAGGGAGACATATGAATGGCCAAAAAGCATATGAATATATGCTCAAACAACTTATCATAAGGAAATGCAAATCAAAACCACAATGAGTTACCACTTAACCCCAGTCATATGGCTAAAATTTAAAAAATACAGAATAATCAGTGCTGGCAAGGCTATGTTGAAAAGGGAACTCTCCTATACTGTTTGTGAAAACGTAGATTAGTACAACCACTGTGGAGAATGATGTGGAGATTTCTCAGAAACCTACAAGTAGAACTACCAAACGAGCTAGTAATCCACTCTTAGGTATCTACCCAGAAGATAGGAAAATCCTCAGTTGGAAAAACACTTGCACAACCATGTTTATTATAACATTATTTACAATTGCTAGTACATGGACTCAATCCAAATGTCCAAAAACAGACAAGTGTATTGAAAAAATGTGGCCCTCTATGGAATATTATTCAGCCATAAAAAAACAATGAGACCCTAAAATTTGATACAAAGTGGACAAATATGGAAGACTTAATGCTAAGCAGAGCATGCCAGAATATGAAAGACAGGCTCTTTGGATGTCCCCATTCAATGGATACCAATGTCTGCACTCTACAATAGAAACTGAAAAACTAGAAGGTACAGTAGCAGAGACAGCAACTATAGATATTAGAGATAATACAGGGAAGAGGGGGCAGGTAACAGGGGGTGAAGTAATAGGAGAAAGGAGAGGAATATGGCAAAAACAAGCAATACATTTTTTTTTACGGTTTTGGCCACAGGGTGTATGTGCTAGCCAGAGAAAGAGACAGTGAGAGGGAAAGTGAGAAACCATGCCCTGGGGGGATGGCCATACTACAATCCCATCTCCTCTGTTCTCTTCCTGGGATTTTTGGGCATGCAAGCACACATACCCTGTGTGATTTTTAAGTCACCAGGTCTGGGTTTCAAACTATTGTCAGTCATTTGGGAGTCCAGCGCCATAACCACTAAGCCACCTGATGGCCCCAACAATACATTTAATTAACGTGCACAAAAAAATGTTATTTGCTGATGATAATGTATATGGTAATGTCTCTGTCTTCACTGATATGCACTGTATCCATGCTAGGAAAAACCATGTTGTACACAGTAAAGATGTATCATGATTAATTGTAAATAATATATATGTAAAATAGAAAACAAAGTTTAAAAACATTTTTTTAACTAGAAAAAGAAGAAACTAAGTGTTTTATCTAATTAGTCAATGGAATATTATTACTAGGATGCTATCAATATTTACCAATGAGCTGTGGAAGTTATTTGTCAGAAAGAAATAAACCAAAGAAATTAGCACATTACTTTTTTTTATAAGAAAAATTCTGAACAAATTGTGTATATAGACTGTTTCACTTATTTTGCCCTGATGATACAAAGAAAATCTCAATCCCAAGTTATAACATGCAAATGATCTGATAAGACTAAAAACCTCTCAAATGAAAATTAAATGAGTATAGAAACTCCTCATACATCTTTTTCTAAAAAGAATTATTTAACTTTATTTATTATTATTATCATTTTCCAGTTTGATCAGAGAGAGACAGAGAGAGAGAGATAGGAAGTGAGAAAGCAAGCCACCAGGTCCGAGACTTGAACTGTGGTTGGCCATGTGGGAGTCCAGTGCCCCTATCCACCACGCCACCTGCCAGCCCCCTTCATACATCTTTTACTAAGTAATAAGAGGAGATAAATAGGTCATCCAGAAAAAGCACAAGGTTATCTACGTAGAATGCACTCACAGGAAAGCACATTTAAAACAGTGCACATCAGATCTAAATGATCAATGTTTTTGAGTCCAAAATAAGGACCAGCAGGTAGCACAGTAGTTGGAGAGCTGGACTCCCCCATGACCAACTGTGGTTTGAGTCTCAGATCCAGAGGCTTGAAACTTATGCTGGGTGCATGTGCTAGCATGCCCAAAATCCCAAGAAGAGACTGGAAGGACAGGGGGACTGTAGCATGTCCATCCCCCCGGGGGATGATTTCTCACTTTCCCTCTCACTGAATCTGTCTCTCCTTCAAGTGCATGCACCCTATGAAAGAAACCTTAAAAAACCAAAAACCTTCTAAACTATGACTGAAGCTCTAAAAGGAGGAATAAAATCACAAAGATCCATTCTATACATGTACGCAGAATCAAAAAAAAATTCTTACCATGTTAAACATAAATTAGTAAGCTTTTCTCTTTTTCATGTATATAGTTAACTCAACATTAAGAATAATTACAAAGGAAGACAAAAGAGAATTTTATTTGCTTATTAAGTAAATTTTTGAGGCCAGTGGTACAGCAGTAACACAATTATCAGCAGTGAACCCCCATGAGAAGGTCCTGTGTTCATGTCCTAACATCTTCCTATACATGCCTGGCTGAACCCGTGGGTGGGTCTTGACATGAAGATCCTCTAGGAATGCCTATCACTCTCTTTCTCTCCATGTGTCATGGAGGAATAAATACGTAAACTGTTTTAAAAAGTAAACTTTTTCTCTTAGAGTACTATACTTATAAATTCCCAAGTGATAAATCCATGAAATATATCTCCTCACATATATATGTACATTTTTAATCATTCATTCATTTTTTTATTTTTGAGAAATTTTTGCTATAGGGCATGTGCACTCACTGGAGAGACCGAGAAAGGCGGAGAGACAGAAACCAAGAAATCATCCCCAGGGAGGATGGCCACGCCACAATCCCTTCAACTCCGTTCTCCTCTCAGGATGTTGGGCATACATGCACACAAGCCTGGCATGAGTTTCAAGCTGCCAGGTCCAGAACTTAACCAGAAAACACATGCGAGTTCAGCATGTTAACCACATGCCATTCATTCATTTTTTTCTTAGAGAATTATTTTATTTAACTTTATTTTTATTTATTTATTTTAATTTGACCAGAGAGGGACACAGTGAGAGAAAGAGAAAGGGAAAGTGAGAAAGCAAGCCACCAGGTCTGGGATTGGAAACATGGTCAGCCGTGTGGGAGTCCAGCACCTTTATCCGCCACTCCACCTGCCAACCTCTCGTTTTTTTTGTTGTTGTTGTTTTTTTTTTTAATAAACAGACCTGCATGGGTGAACTGAACACATAGGAGGTGGTGGGAGATGAGGGTGCTTTTCAATGGTCACTGTTTTCTTCACATGATCTTGACTGATGTCTTCATACATGTGCTCAACTGTTAAAGGCTGCCGTTGCTATAAACATAAAAAAAATTTTGAAATTACTTTTTTAAAACTTCTAGTCTCTCACTTAATTTGTACTATATTTTTTCCAACAATTTTTTTTTCTCTTCAGTGTCTTAATGTGGAATTTAACTCTAACCAAAAAAGGAAGCTGGCAGAAACAGCCTTCTACACACTTTTTAAAATGAATTAGCGTAATGGCTATGTCACTGTACTCCCATGTAGTTAACTGCGGTTTGCGTCCTGGACCTGGTGGCTTAAAACTCACGCCAGGCACGTGTGCGTGCATGCCCAAGATCCCGAGAGGAGAATGGAGGAGAAGGGACTGTGGCGTGGCCATGCCCCTGGGGGGTGATTTCTCGCTTTCTGTCTCTCTGTCTCTCTCTGTCTGGCGAGCGCACGCGCCCTATAGTGAAAACTTCTCCAAAAAAAAAAAAAAAAAAGAATGGTAGGCTAATGTTTAATGTTTTTATAAAGTATTGTAATATTGTTTTGTGGATAATTGAAATAAAATTTCTCATTGAATGGAAAAAAAATTGTACTATATTAAACCCCAAACTCATATTACCTCAATTTAGAATTCCAGCCTATTTAGAAATATCAGATTATCTGGGGAAAAGCTTACCCTTTATTTATATCAAACAAAGGGAAGATAAAATCTGCTCATGCAGGCTATGGAACATTAGTCACTGTCTGATGCAGAAAAATTCCACAAAAAGGTAGGTTTGTGGCTGTGAAAACACTTGGGAACCAGCAGTTAGCGTAATGGCTATGTTGCTGGACTCCCATGTAGTCGACTGTGGTTCGCGTCTCGGACCCAGTGGCTTAGAACTCACGCCAGGCCTGTGTGCGTGCATGCTGAAGATCCCGAGAGGAGAATGGAGGAGAAGGGATTGCGGCATGACCATCCCCCCTGGGGGGTGATTTCTCGCTTTCTGTCTCTATGTCTCTGTCTGTCTGTCTGGCGAGTGCACGCGCCCTATAGCGAAAACCTCTCCAAAAAAATAAATAAATTAAAAACACTTTATAACTCATCTTTTAGTCTTAATTTGCTTTTGCTTCTTAACAATTTTTTTTTTCTCTTTCTTACCCTAACCCCAATCCCAAGCCCTAACTGTGCAACCTAAGCCCTAGCTTTTTTTTTTTCTTTTTTTTTGGAGAGGTTTTTGCTACAGGGTGCGTGCACTCGCCAGACAGAGAGAGACAGAGACACAGAAAGCGGGAAATCAATCACCCCCCCTGGGGAATGGCCATGCCGCAATCCCTTCTCCTCCATTCTCCTCTCGGGATCTTGGGCACGCACGCACACGCGCCCGGCTTGGGTTTTAAGCCACCAGGTCTGGGATGCGAACCGCGGTTGACTACGTGGGAGTCCAGCGACATAGCCATTACGCTAACTGCTAGTCCCCTAAGCCCTAGCTCTTAACCTCTAACACTAGGCTTACTTTGTTTTCTTTTAATAGTCCTCTAACTTACATAAATAGATGAGTTAAAGAGGCTGTCTATCTTAAGGAAAAAGTACTGTGACATGATCACTTTGTAAATGCCTACATATACAACAGATGTAACCTCAAACAAAATTTAATAAACATACCACGTTTAATTTCCCCTTACAGTTTGAAGGGATAAACAGAGGAGCCCAAGGAATAAATACGTAACAGTGACCTCTGTTTAATTCTTAGTATTACTGTTGTCACACTGAACAATTCGGTTTATTCAAAATAAACATTCAAGGTCAATGTTAATCATAAAGTTGTAAAAAGAAAGATTTCTAAAATATATGATGAAAGAATTAAACCCAATGGGACCGGCAGTTAGTGTAATGGCTATATTGCTGGATTCCCATGTAGTTAGTTGACCACAGTTCGAGTACCAGACCCAGTGGCTTAAAACACGCCAGGCGTGTGTGCGTGCATGCCCAAGATCCCGAGAAGAGAATGGAGGAGAAGGGATTGTGGCGTGGCCATCCCCCCTGGTGAGTGATTGCTCACTTTCTCTCTCTCTGTCTGTCTTTGTCTGGTGAGCACACACACCCTATAGCAAAAACCTCTTCTTCCCCATCCCCCAAAATAAAAATTAAACCCAACAACTTAAAATATTACATTAAAATATATTTGTCTTTATTTTTATCTCATCATAGCCAAACTATTTTTACCTCATCATAGCCAAATAACCATAGTCGTGGAGTCTGGTAATATTTATCGTAAGTGATGTAAAGGTCATAAGTTCTGGTTTTGAAAATAGCATCTTCCCCTCCAGCATCAGTTTTAGCTTTACAAGCTTCCACTATTTTCCTTGTGTCGAGGGTAGCCTGGTACGTAACGATGAAGAAAAATTTTCAACCATTAAGTCCATGTGAATATGAAATTCTACAAAATCTGTATTATTTTCCTATCCTACATTTTGCTTTTCTCAAAAGTAAATGAACTTAAAACTTAAAGCTAAAATTTTAATACGCTATTACCAATCTAAACAAATATTTATTTAAAAGATCAACATAATATTAATAAAAGCACTAATTCCCAAGTTGATGAAAAATTAACTTGATTTACAAACCTCATCTGTTTCCAACAATCCACTCTCTTCATACTCTGTTATAAAAAGCAACAAAAGATTAATGAAGTTCAAGAAAATTCTCTAATTTGTACTTCAGTATATGATCTCAATGTATAAATACTTCAGTATATCATTTAAAAACTGGGGTTTTGCTTTTGTTTTTAACTGAAAACATATTGAAAAGATATGACTGAGCTCTTTCTATAACTTCAAAGCAACCGATATTTTACCTGACAAAAGTTCAGAATAAGTCAGCATGTTTACGGTTTGTCCTTGCACTCTTTGTCCTAGTAATATCAAATGGCATAACAGTACTGTAAGAACTTAGGGACTCTATAGGGTCTGTAAGGCTATTTATATAACTGCATAAAATGTGCTCATTAAACTCATCATTGACCTCTATTTTACTGTATAAAGTGGTAAATTCCCAGTTTTCATCTTAATTGACTTCTCAGGAACATTTGGCATGATTTATTCACTATTCCTTGGAACACTCTCTTTGGCTTTTAAGATAATTCTATTTTCCTGGCTCACTGGCTGCTCCTTCATTATCTCCTCTGCAGCTCCTCTTCAATACCTCTACTTAAAACACACACACAAAACACACTATAGTATTCAAAAGCTCAATTCTTGAACATTGTCTCTTCTCAACCTACACGTACTCCTACTATGATTTAATCCAGTCTCCATGACTTTAAACACTGTAGGGTCCTAATTCAGTCCCTGACAACAGACCTGGATATCTAATTGTTTACTATATGGCTCCATTGGATGACTCATGGGGATTATAAATATTTCATGTCTAAAACCAAGCTTCTGACTCTCTCTCCTAAGCTAATCACTCTTTTAATTTTCCTCATCTTAGTTAATGGCATTTTTCCAGATGCTTGGGTCAAAAACCTTGGAGTCACACTTGACAACATTGCCTTTCACATCCTACATCCAGTCAGTGGCAAATCCCTTAGGCCCTACCTTCAAAAATCTGTCCAGAATTGTTTCTCATCACTACCAACACTACAACTCTAGCCTGAGCCAACATTACTCTGTGCCTAGATTTTCAAAATAGTCTTCCCTCTTGTCCCTTTTTTTTTTTGCCATTCTCAGCATTGCATTTACAGTGACTACATTGTTCATGTGAAATTATGTTACTCCTCTACTTATAAAAATCCTCCACAAGTTTCTTGTCTTACTCTGAGTTAAAGTCAAGATGTTGCACAATGTGGCCCCTACTTTTCTCTGACTCTACCTTTTATTACTCCCCCCATTATACCTCTCTGAACACAGGAATATCCTTGCCACATCTCATATAAGCCACACCTGTTCCCACCTCAGGGCCTATGCACTCTTTGCCCACATATCCAAATAGCTTGTTCACTCACTTCTTCACCAGACTTTACTCAAATGGTGTCCTTTCAATAACCAACTTAACTAAAAACTAAAACATTCATTCCCACCCTAAAGTTCCATCTTTTAAAAAAAAACTTGAACACTTTAAATCTTTGAATACAATGTGTATTTTATGTATCTGTTCTTAATCTCTCTTAATTAGAACGTAAGTTTCATGAGCTCATGCCTACAGCTTTATCTCCAGCACCAGAAACTGTACCTAATACTCAGACATTACATTCCTCAGATATTTGTCAAATAAATACAAATTATCTTTTATATCAGACACTGTCAACACTGGTTTTGAGTAACATTCCATATACAGCAATTGTTTAACCTTATCCAAGAGAAATGCAACAAGTGTATTAAAAGACTATGAAACATTAAAGACAGTTGCAGTTTGTACCCTAAAAGCAAAGTTTTACTCATAGCATTCCTTCCAACCTCAACCAAGCTTGGACAACTGATGCCAGTCAGTTGTCCAGAGAGAATATTTGTGCAAGAAGGTGATGAGTTCTGTTTCTGAGGACTGTGAGAGATCCGTGTGAAAATGAAAATGAATGCATAGATATGAAGTTGGGAAATCTGGCTTGGTTTAGGTATGGAAGTCCTGAATATAGAGGAGAAATGTGAGATTGCTGTTAGCAATTCTGATTATAAGAAACTCATTCAAATTTCCTCAAGGCATAGGAGCTTTCTATGAAATAAGAATCTCACTAAAATTTAGAAATAGATATATAGCTATGTTTCCTGGGGACCTGAAATTAATCTGGGAAACAAAATCAAAAGACCGAAATACACTTTCAGTCCAGCAAACATCATTTGCCATCATGGTGCGTCAACTATTGGCATCGTCTTCTATTTCTGCATTCTATAAAACATATTTAACTCATCCTAAGTCCTACGTGCTTTGGGGTATTCAGCTGCCTTACACTGCCCAATGCCTTCTCTCTGTCTTTAATTTAAATCCTTTTCCTATTTCTAACTTCTAACACACACAAACATACACACACAAACACACTCTCTCTCTCCTTGTGTGTGTCACATGCATATACATACATGTCTGTTTTTCTCCAGAACCTGACAATTTATATTTTATAGAGAATTTGATGATAATTTGTGTGTCATTTTTCTTGCAGCACAAATTTCCAGGCCAGACCACAGCATGCCATTACAGAAGACACAAAAATAGATAAAATCTGGGAGTATAGAAAGTAAGCAAGGAAAATAAATAAATGAAACTCCATGAAACAATAGCATTTAACAGGCCTAAGAAAAAGAGCCCCAAAGGAAGATTTGGAAAGAAGAATCAAATAAGGGAGGAGAAAACCCAATGTCACAGAAACTAAGGCAGGAAAAGAAAAGAAGGTAGATGTGGCTGATAAAATCAAGGAATACAGAGAAGGTGTATATAGTAAAGACATATTAGATCTAGCATATCATCCTTCTGATACCAATTTCTTCACCTATTTTTAAATATCTGTGGTTTCACATGTATTAAATTATCTTGCTAGTAAAAAAGGAAGTCTTTTGTTTGTTTGTTTTTAAAGAGGGTGCTTGCCAGAGTCAGAGAGGGAGAGGAGAAAGCACTCCATATACAGAATGGTCACACCACAGTCCTTTCTCCTTCTTTCAGGTTTCTGGGCACCCATGCACACATGCCTGGCATATTTCTCAAGTTGCCAGGTTGGGGATTCAAACTGTGAGGTGGACTATGTGGGACCTGGGTGTCTTAACTGACAAACCACAGAGCTGGCCTGAAACAAGAAATTTTGAACAGTCCTGTACTCATAAACCTGCACTGCTCCATTCTATTAGTATAGCGGGTGGGTTTCAGTGGGTTTCAATCTCTTATAATGATGAGTCAGTGCAGTGAATCTGAGGAGGGATTTCATGAACTCAGGGAACCAAAAGGATTCTGTGTAGTTCAAAAGGCCCCATGGGGAACCAGCAGTTAGCGTAATGGCTATGTCGTTGGACTCCCACGTAGTCGACCGCAGTTCGCGCCCCAGACCCTGGCTTAAAACTCACGCCAGGCACGTGTGCATGTGTGCCCAAGATCCCGAAAGGAGAATGGAGGAGAAGGGATTGCGGCGTGACCATCCTCCCTGGGGGGTGATTTCTCGCTTTCTGTCTCTATGTCTCTCTCTCTGTCTGGCGAGCGCATGCGCCCTATAGCAAAAAAAAACCTCTCCAAAAAAAAAAAAAAAAAAAAAAAGGCCCCAAGAAACCCGAGAAAACAAAAAAAAAAAAAAAAAAAAAAAAGGCCCCATGAATGCCAGTATAGCTATGCTTTATAACACTGAACCTACATAGGAAGGTCCCAAGTTCATACTCACAGTTTTCTTATACACTCCAGATGGGCACAAATGTGTGCCCATGAACCTGGCCGACTGAAGTTGGTATAGATTATGGCAACCCTACTGGGGTGAGTGTCCTTCTCTTTTGTGCTCATGGAATAAACAAACTTTAAAACAAAGGGCCCCATTAAGAATCGTTATCTGGGACCAGCAGTTGGGTGTAATGGCTATGTTGCTGGACTCCCATGTAGTCAACTGCAGTTCAAGTCCCAGACCCGGTGGCTTAAACTCATGCCGCGTGCGTGTGCGTGTGGGCCCAAGATCCAGAGAGAAGAACAGAGGAGAAGGGATTGCTGTGTGGCCATCCCCCCTGGGGGGTGATTTCTCACTTTCTGTCTCAATCGTCATCTTAAGGTTTCAGCAGAGAAGTGCTATCAAAAAGGAGAAGGAGAATACAAAACACATGAGCAAACTTTTGTCTGCTTTAGTATTCATTTAAGAACTAATATCTTATAGCTATACTCAGTGCTAAAAACTTATCACTAATATTTATCCTAGTAGAAATAATGCAGCCAGAGCTATACTCTAGGTAAAATAGAAGAGTCCAGAATCAAGTTAGCACAGATAAAATTGGAGGGATCAGTAGATGATGTAATTATTACATTGCTGGATTCCCACGGAGCTGACCACAGTTTGAGTCCTGGACCTGGTGGCTTCCAGCTCACATCAGGCGCGTGTGCCTGCACCCCCAAGATCCCAACTGGAGAATGGAGGAGAAGGAATTGTGGCATGGCCATCCCCCTAGAAGATTTCTTGCTTTCTGTCTCTCTATCTCTCTGGCAAAAGTGCAAATACCCTATAGCAAAAATCTCTCTTAAAAAAAAGAAAAGAAAATTCAGTTGAGTAGGATTCTTAATTATTACCACATAATTTACCAATATGAGGGGTCTTCAAAACTTTCATGAAAAATGCATATTATGAAAGAATTACATGCACGTATTTCAAAAACTTTTTGCACTACAAAAACCCAGTATTTTAATTCCTTTTCCTACAGACTTAATGAATTTCCCTTGTCTTCCAAAATCAATATTCTAATGTGATTAAAGCAAATTTAGAATGTAAATACCTTCCATATCTGCAGCTTCTCCTTCATCTTCCTCCTCTTCCTCTTCACATGGTGCTGAACAATCTTGGAGTTTTATACTGTCCTTTGAAATTAATTATATTTAAAATCACTGAAGTAGTTCAAACACTGAACACCTATGTGCTATCACAGTGGCAAAAACTGAAAATAAGACTTCTTAAGGATAATTGCCTTACCTTGACTCTAGTGGGAATGACAAACTCACAAATCAATCATTAAAGTAATGTGCTAAGAACTATGACTGAAAATATCAAAGGTATTATGGTAGCATTAAGAATTACCTAAGCTAACCATTTAAAAAATAGTTGCTAGGGTCAGCAGGTGGTGTAGTGGTTAAGACACTAGACTTGCAAATGGCTGACTAAAGTTCAAGTCTCAGACAGGATGGCTTGAAATTCACCAAGCATGTGTGTATGTATGCCCAAAATACTGAGAGGAGAAGGGATTGTGACATGGCCAACCCCACAGTGGCAAGGGGTGAGTGACTTCTTGCTTTCTCTCTCTCTGAATCTCCGGCATGCCCTATAGCAAAAATCTCTCCAAAAAAAAAGTTGCCAATTTCGTTCCCAAGAAACAATATTTTTAGTTAATTCATTAATATTATAAAATCAGTTCAAAGTTACATTAATTCTACACTTATAATTTAAATAAAGGTATATCTACAAATCAAAATACATTTATACGCTAAAATAAATTATAAATCAAAGATGATGATATTCTAATGTCTTAGCAATAGTGTAGCAGCTTGAATTAAGCAGAAGTTAATACAATTACTACTACATATAAGATGGCAGTTCAACTTCTAACTATTGAATATATTAAGCTCTACAATGAAAGAAAATGCTGAATAATGACAGGCCTAATATAACATTATCATTTTCACAAAATTATCTTGAAAATGTGAAGTCAATTCAATATACTAACTGAATAAAATGAAATCTAGTTTTACGTAGGTTACTTTTACTTAGTGACGGTTTTATTTCCTACCAGAAACTTAAATTACATATATAAATATTATACTCAAAATGTGGAATCACATTAGAAAAATGGTCTCAATAATTATTATCTGATGAACTGATTAGGAAAATTATTTTTTTTTTTAGGTTTTGCTATAGGGCACATGTGTTTGCCAGAAGAGAGAAAGTGAGAAATCACTCCCCATGGGGGATGGCCATGCCACAATCTCTTTTCCTCTCAGGACTTTGGTCACACGTTCATACATGCCTGTCATAATTTTCAAGCCACCGTGTCCCGGGCTCAAACTGTGGTGGACCATGTGGAAGTCCAGCACCTTAATCACCATGCCACATGCTGGCCCTGATCAGTTTATTCATTTTAATCATGATCAGCTGATGTTCATGCTTGATACAGTTGAATGCAATAGAAATAAAAAACCAAGATTAATACCTGGGAATTGATAGCAAGTATTCTTAACATTAAGATACAAACAATAATATAACTTCTGTGTCAAACAGGAAATGACAGGAAAGATACCATTCTAAGTATTCATTCTTTAGTAGGCCATAAGGATGTTAAGAGGTGCCAACTACCATAGTAATTGCTGCTCTTATCTATTAAAAATTCTTAGCTTAGCCACAGTGGCATAAAGAATAGGCCACTACTGCATAAGGCTGGAGCCACATGGGAGGCCTGGGTGTGGTTTCCAGACGCATCTAAGCAGGCAGGGAGTGATGGCATGAACCTGTGATCCTGGCTAGCTGGTAGGTTTTGCTATAGGGCACATGTGTTTGCCAGAAGAGAGAAAGTGAGAAATCACTCCCCATGGGGGATGGCCATGCCACAATCTCTTTTCCTCTCAGGACTTTGGTCACACGTTCATACATGCCTGTCATAATTTTCAAGCCACCGTGTCCCGGGCTCAAACTGTGGTGGACCATGTGGAAGTCCAGCACCTTAATCACCATGCCACATGCTGGCCCTGATCAGTTTATTCATTTTAATCATGATCAGCTGATGTTCATGCTTGATACAGTTGAATGCAATAGAAATAAAAAACCAAGATTAATACCTGGGAATTGATAGCAAGTATTCTTAACATTAAGATACAAACAATAATATAACTTCTGTGTCAAACAGGAAATGACAGGAAAGATACCATTCTAAGTATTCATTCTTTAGTAGGCCATAAGGATGTTAAGAGGTGCCAACTACCATAGTAATTGCTGCTCTTATCTATTAAAAATTCTTAGCTTAGCCACAGTGGCATAAAGAATAGGCCACTACTGCATAAGGCTGGAGCCACATGGGAGGCCTGGGTGTGGTTTCCAGACGCATCTAAGCAGGCAGGGAGTGATGGCATGAACCTGTGATCCTGGCTAGCTGGTAGGCTGGAACAGAGGAATTTTGAAGTAGCAAGAACTTGTCAAAAATGACTTTCTCTTCCCAGCCACCCCTCTCTAATTAAAAGAAAAAAAATCTTAAAAGAACTACCATAAACGAATCAAAAAATGTCATTACACTACTTAGCCATTATCATTCCCCAAACCTGAAGCATAAATACTAATGGTCAAAGTACACAAGATCTAAAGCTGTCATAGCTACTGTGTGATTTCTCTGTCATCATCAGACTCTTCAAAAGGATAATTTTGCAAGCCAACAAAGTCAATCTTTAAAGTTAATCTTTAGCAAGTATAGAATTGCAGATTGACAAAAAAAAAAAAAAAAAAAAAACTTTAGTTATAGTTTCTAACACGTTCTGTGAAGTCCTAATCATGAATCCCCAAAATTCAGATGACAAAAAAAATACAGAGTATCTTAAATTATAACTCTTGCAGCAAATGTTATTAACAGAAATAATTAATCCACTTAAATATTCTTTTAGTAAAGCTCATTTCCTGAGAGAAAGAAGAGAGAGAGAAGGGGGCACCCTCGAAGGATCCCTATCATGTGATCCTCCCCTAGCCCTACAGCTAGTCAGGATCACACCTGGAATGTTCAGGTAAGCCAAGATGACAACCTGGAGTTTTCCCACATGGCTTTCGGCATAATGGAGCAATACCCCTACTACCTTCACCAATACAGCTGGGCCTCCATTCAATGAAGACCTAAAAGACCTAATGTTAAAAAACTGATTTAGAAAAGATAAGGGTGGCCCAGTGACAGTGGCACAGGTGTTGGAGTGCCAGAACTTGATGCTGGAGCCAATATGAGATGGGTAGGAGCCCAAGGTTTAGAGATGGGGGTTGATGGAACACAGTGGGCACACCTATAGGTGCCATCATCTGGCTGGCTGGGGGGAGGAGGTGATGATCAAGATATGGCAAGGCACTGTCCGGGATCCCTGTCTATCCACACATTCTCTCTCTCTCTCTCAAAAAATAAACTTAAAACTAAGAGAAGATAAGAGTGAAAGTGTGTTGTATTTTTTATATTATTTTAACTATATAAAAATATGAAGAAAACTAATAATTTTCTCTAAGAAATGAAAAGCCAATGTAATATACACAACTTGAATTAACTGAAAACTTTCAAGTAGAAAAATTTTAACCAAAATATATTTTACCCTACTTTTATTATTATCATATAATAAAACTTAATCAATTCTGTTTCCATTCATTCAAAATGTCATGATTTTGGATGATACTAAGCTAAAGTTTACATTTAAAATTTCAAAAACAAAAACAATACAAATCACTGCTAATTTAAAAACATACAAAAAGAATGATTAAATTGCTTACAATAATATTTAATCTATAAAATATAATTTAGACATCATATATCATTAGTATCTACTTACCAGAAAGGAGATACCACTCTCCTCTCCAAATGTTGTGTTTACATAACATTTGGTAATAATTACACATAAAAACAAAAAGGCCATCTCTTTTACACTAGTCTAAAAGTCTTTCCAATTAGTGAAAATTGGTATTGGGTCATCAGAAAAGTCATGACACATTCTTGTGTCATTCTTTGGATGCATTTTTGCATAGAAAAATACATCGTAACTTTTCCAATGATCCAATAGCTTGCAGCAAAAGGGTTTGCCTTGGCCATAGTGCAAATTAAGAAAAATAAGAAAAGAATTAAGAAGCAGTAGTGTTTTGGGCATATTGATATAGAAAAAGGAAAGTGAAAAAGAGATAACTACAATTTAAATGAACTTGAAAACAAGTAACCAGAGTTTAAAAATATGAGTGATCTTAATGTATGTAATATGCAAATGAATGTAATAAAATTTAGAAATACAACTAATCAACTCATACCTTGCTTTCCAGTGTGATCTCCTTAACTGCTTCAGTTACTCCTGTAATACCTATTTAAAATTCAGCAGAAAAGAAAAGCTAAAATTAAGTTGTAAACATTTACCTGGTTAAATATAAAAACATCTGCCTGATTAAATATAAAAGCCCTCAAAATTAACTAAATTCTCACAATTTCTCTCAAATGAGGAGGCAAATATTAGCATCATCTTTGCAAATGAACTCTAATACTCTAACAGGAATAAATAATCCCAAAGGCATCTCCTCTCAAACTAAAAAAAAATAATAAATAAATAAAGTATTATGAATTATAATTACCATGAATTATCCTTTTCCATCATTCTTCACTATTTTTCATTAACTTCTTTTAGTTAAGTCTCTATTAACATAATCTAAGGAAGTGAACAGAGTAAGAGACTATAGGTCTCGTAGAAAGCAGGTGGTATGGTGGTTAAGGCACTGAATTCCTACACGTTGGACTGTGGTTTGAATCCCAGACCTAGCAGCTTGCTTTCTCACTTTCCCTCTCTCTGATCAAATTAAAAACTAAATTAATTAATTAATTAAATAATTCTCTAAAAAAATAGAGAGATACTATAGGATCCTTTTACATTTTATTTAATTTGGCATCAAAATTTTTTCAACCAAGTTCTGACTATATTAGCATGCTATTTGTTTCAGTTAAGGATAGGATATAGTTTAAAGCTAAAATTCTATGAACATCTCTCATAAATATTAGAATTGATTATACACATTAAGTGAACCATAGCATGACACTGTGTTATGGAAATGATGTTACTTGCCCCCTATTCTCTAAGACAAGCTTTTTTTTTTTTAAGTTGTCAGAATTTCTATGGATTTTTGTCAATCCAGTAACAATGGCACTTACTTATCTGTGATAAGTGACTTTGTAAATTTGAGAGAAATTCAAAAAGCTCATAAAAAATAGAATTAAAAGGTAAAAATGAAAACTATAAACCTTATTTCTCAATACAAGCTCCATCAAGTTCTAGACACTTTTGTCAGTGATGATACCAGCCACTAGGTCCATCTCAAGACGAGAGGGTCTGGGGCCCAGCAGCGATGCAGTAGTAACACAACAGGGTTTACACTGGAAAGGTCCTGGGTATATGCCCTGAAACCTCACCAAGCACAGTGGGTACACGTACCCCCCTGATCTAGGTTGGCAGAGACCTGGAGTGGACTGAAGTATTAAGATCCTACTGGGGGGTATTTGTCTGTCTACCTCTCATGGAAGAAATAAGTAAACTTACAAAAAAAAAGGGGCTAGCTGGTTTAGCGGTGATTAAGGCAGTTGTACTTCACACAGACAACTGCACGGTTAGAGTACCGGACTTGGTGGCTTGAAAAATATTCTGGGTGTGTGTGGACGTGTGTACCTAAAATCCTGAAAGAAGAAATGAAGAAGGGATAATGGCACAACCACCCTCTGGGACGGGGTGTTTTCTCATCCTAACCCCACCCCTACCACAGCTACCTGTCTTTCTCTGGGGAACATATATACTCTCTAGCAAAATTAAATAAAAAACAAAACAAACAAACAAAAAAACTGGGAATTTAACCATGTCAGTCTATTTTTTTTTTTATGTGATTAACTGAAAAAAAAAAAAAAAAAAAAAAATGTAAGTGCCCTCTAAAGATTTAAGATTAGAAAACAAAAAGGAGCCAAACCACGATTATAAGGCGGCTGTTTAAGGACTTCCCAGTCAAACTCTTACAAAAGCCTTTGTGTGATGAGAAGATCACTCTCATCACAGGAACACTCACGCAGGAACACTTTGGTGGAAGACTCTGGTAAAGATTTCCTGGGCCATTTCCTGTTAAAGCTTTCTCAAAATACTCAACTCATTAAGAAGCAAACAAGTTTCAGATCAGAGAGGCCAAGTTCCAAATCTCTGTCTATGTCTTGGAAGGAAACAGATGGTAGGAGAGGAGAAACTGACCTAAGGAGGCACTTTTCATCTGTGCAGATTACTTAGCCCTTATCTACTGCAATGAGTCTCAACTAAGGACAGCAATTTTGCCCTTCATAAAACATTCAGCGATGTCTGGAAGGCATTACTGAGTGTCACAACTGGGGGATGATTCTAGCATTTAGTAGTTAGAGGCCAGAGAAACTGCCGAATATCCTATAAAGCACAAGAGATACTACAACAAAGAATTATCCAGCACAAAATATCAACAGTACCAAAGCTGACAAACCCTACTCTACTATTAGCGTCCTAGTCTCTAGGATCACTAAGAGAAAAAAAAACTTTTCAGTATCACAGATTTAAATGCAGAACACAATTTCTTCATGAAAACTAAGTCAGGGGATCAGCAGATGGTTTAATGGTTACGTCACTGGACTCCCATGTAGTTAAAAGCGGTTCAAGTCCCAGACCAGCTTAAAATTCACACTGAGCACGTGTGTGTGTGCATTCCCAAAATCCTGAGAGGAGAATGGAGGAGAAGAGATGAGGGTGACTTCTCGTTTTCTGTCTCTCTGTCTGACAAGCACATGTGCCCTACAGCAAAAATCTCTATTAAAAAAAAAAAAGTCGTAACAGACCAGCAGATGGCATAATGGTTACATCACTGGGCCGCAACTTAGTCAACCATGGTTCGAGTTCCAGACCCTGCAACTTAAAACTCATGCTGGGGATGTGTGCCCAAGATCCCCAGAGGAGAATACAGGAAGGATTATGGCATGGCAGTACCCCCCCACCCCCGCCCCGGGAGGTGATTTCTCACGTTCTCACTTTCTGTCTCTCTGGTGAGCTCTCCAAAACAACAACAACAAGAACAAAAATTAAGTGATAAATAGCAATTATCTACAGCAGCATATAACATGCATTCACATAGTTACATATATATAGTGGCAAAACATGGTTTTAGGACTTAACAATACATTAAAAAGTATGCTCAAGGCCTAATGGCAGTGTTGTGATAATAACACAACACTCTGTGAGGCTGATCCACATGAAAAGGTTGCTAGTTCAAGGCTGAAGACTTCCCTGAGTACACCAGGCACATGTGTGCTCAGGACCTGTGCTGATTGAGGCCAGGTGTGGACTGCAGCATCAAAACCCAGTCCTAGTTACTATCTCTCTGCCTCTTTCTGTTTCTCACATTCATGGAATAAATAAGTAAACTTTTAGGAATCTGTATTTGGGATTTTAAATGTCTTATACAAACATACACTTATGAAAGCCTTAAGTACAATTTGTTTAAAAATCTTTATTGATCAACTTCTATATCAGATACTATGACAGATATTAAATATTCAACAGCCTCTACCTTCATGGAGCTTACTAAAAATTTATTTTAGGGTTAGGTTGACCCCATATCATAGTGGTTAAGCACTGCTCACAGGAAACTGAATCTCACATGGTTGATCCTGATTCAAAGCGCAGCAACAGGGAACCAGCAGTTAGTGTAATGGCTATGTCGCTGGACTCCCACGTAGTCGACCGCAGTTAGTGTCCCGGACCCGATGGCTTAAAACTCATGCCGGGTGCATGTGCGTGTGTGCCCAAGATCCCAAGAGGAGAATGGAGGAGAAGGGATTGTGGATTGACCATCCCCACTGGGGGGTGATTTCTTGCTCTCTGTCTCTATGTCTCTCTCTGTCTGGCGAGCGCACGTGCCCTATAGCAAAAACCTCTCCAAAAAAAAAAAACCACAAAGCCCAGCAACAGTAGTTTGAAAAATCAAGCTGGGCACATATAGGTCTGTGTCCAAAATCCTAATGGGATATAAAAATGGAATAAAAAGTACTGTGGTGTGATCATACTCCACTGAGGGAGAACCTCTACTTCCCTCCCTCTTTCCCATTCTGGAGAGTACAAGCCCATTCTAACAATGAAAACAACATTATCTTGGTTGGGCCCAGCAGGTGGCGTAGTGGTTATGTTGCTGGACTTCCACATAGTTGAAAGCAGCTGGAGTCCAGGACCCAGTGGTTTAAAACTTACACTGGGCACATGTTTGTATATGCCCGAAATCCCAAAAGGAGAATGAAGGAGAAGGGAATGCGGTGTGGCCATCCCACTGGGGGTTATTTCTCGCTTTCTGTTTCTTTGACTCTCTGCAAATACATGTGCCCTATAGCAAAAATCTCTCTTAAAAAAATTATTTTAGTAGTCATTCAACAAATAATTATTAAATACTGTTAGATGTAGGTACTCTGAGTAAAATAAATAAAGATAGTTCCTGTTATAGAAAAGCTCATAATTCAGCAATGGAATGATGTATAAAAAGGAAATTCTAAAGCAAAATAGTATGCATATTCAGTATGTCTGATTGACTTTACTTTTTTTCCTTTTTACTTAAAAATAGAGATTACGGCTTTTTCTAATTGCAACTTAATCAGCAGGAAACAGAGAAATTTGGTATACTATTTTGGGTATGTTTTGTCCCTCCCCCCCACTATGGTCCTCTTGCTTCTTTCAGGTAAAAGTCTACTAGAACAAAACTATGCCTTATGTGTCCCTTTTACTAATTTTTTAAAATCAAGGCTATAATAAAATAATGTAAAAGAGTTAAACGTATGCCATTCTATTCTTCTCTTACCTGTGTTGTGATAGGTATCTACCCATCCTCCATCACCATCATCTTCTTCAATGATAGCTTCCAATTCATCTGAATACTCCATCTGTTTGCACCGCTTGTAGCATGGCACTAAAAAATTATTTTAAAAATAGCAAATATATTGGGTTGTCATAAAAGTCATGATGCATTTTGCATAGAAAAACAGAAGGAAAAAGTTGTGACTTTTCCAGCAAACCAATAGTTACTAGCACATAATTTGTTAACTGTTAATCCTTTAAAGTTTATTCCATAAAAAATGGTATTTACACTACCACCAGTATGTTAAGTGAATATTATACTTCACTTCAAATGAAAGAAAGTATTTAAAAGTTATATTCAGCTCACAGATACATAATTTGACCATACTTATTTTTCCCTAATTGCTGTGGCAGAAGAAAAGTCCAATAGAATGGCTCTACGTGAGAGTGTTCTATACATTTCATTTACGTTCTATAGATTTCTTTTTTGTGATGGTCTGTGAAGAACAGTAGCATGAAGCCAGAAATGACACTGTTCAATTTCAGGTTAATAAATAACGATCCCTTATTAAATGGCTTTATTCTTGGAACATGGAGGTACCATCTGTCACATCAGAGGTGGTATAGGTGACCTCTGATTTACAATGTTAAAGTAACTTTCAATAAGAATTTCATAATTTATACTTGGATCAAGTTATTTACAATTGATAAAACACTTTAAAATTCCCCAAACTGCTTTTTATTTTCGAAAACAATGCTAGTGCCAATTTTTCTATATAGCAAATGTGTCAATTAAGAAGTATTATTATTCATAAGCCTAAAACTGAACAAACTTCAAGATGAAAATCTTATGAAGTAGATTGAACAAATTGCTATTAATCTTCTAATTTGTTTAAACTAGCATGATATAAACCATCAATCTTTAAAAAGTAGAATACAATAAGCTATAAGAAAAAAAAACTGTTGTTTTGTGCATAGTATTTTTTCTTTTCCATAATGGTTAAAGTACAACAGAAACCAACACATTGTTTTGTACATATTATTTTCTCTTTTCTATAATGGCTAAAGTAAAATAGAAATCGATGCATTGTTTTGTGATTATTTAGGGGCTATAACAACCTTGTGATACTCTAAAATTAATTTCTTAAATGTGATGCTACTTGTTTCAAAACATTTTCTGTGACAATAGGCAATCTTTCAATGGCACAGTGAATAATAAAATCTGTAGCTATGGACTTCTGGATATCAAAAGTAGCTATCAATTTCATTTTACATAAAAAAATTTAATCCAAAAGAGATTAAAATCAAATAGCTAAAAAGATTATAATTACAAAGTTGACTTCAAAAAAATACTATTAGAAGTCCAACTTTCCTTGCATATACCTTCTACCATCCCTTGCTTCCTGACAACTGTATCTTTTTGGGAAAAAAAGAAGAAAGAGGGGGATCAGCAGTTAGCATAATGGCTATATCGCTGGACTCCCACGTAGTCGACCACAGCTCGCGTCCCTGACCCGGTGGCTTAAAACTCACATCAGGTGCGTGTGCGTGCGTGCCCAAGATCCCGAGAGGAGAATGGAGGAGAAGGGATTGCGGCATGGCTATCCCCCCTGAGGGGTGATTTCTCACTTTCTGTCTCTGTCTATCTGGCATGTGCCCTACGTTAAAAACCTCTCCAAAAAAAAAAAAAGGGGAACTAAAAATTAACCAAGAAAAAAATACTTCAGAATACTTTTCCAGTAATAAAAAACATTGGGCTTCACTGAATTTCCAAATTTCTATCTCAGAGTAACTGTAAATACTGCTTTACAGTTTCAGAGTTTTTGTTATTGTTTTTAATATAACTCTGTACAAAATTTACTAATGTATTCCAAATAATACTTACCATTTTTGGTTACCAAAAATTGTTTGCCCGTGGGTAGGTATGCCTTTACTTTTGGTTCTTCCCCTGTGGCCCTTTAAAAACAGTGAAAAGCACCAAACACATTTTGAATGGCAAATACAGAACAGAAGATACCACATATAAATAAATCTCAAAAGTACAGAATCCAAACTTCTGAGAAACTGTTTTAGGACTGGGTTTGGAAGAATGCCATTAAGTAATATATGTCAAAGTACAACACAAAAGCACAACACAAGTAAAATATACTGAGATACAGACAGACCTAAGAGAATTTTATTAAATATTACACAAAAAGAATAATCTACAACTATTAAACACCTATACACTTCAAAACAAAAAGAAAATGCTGTTCTGTAATAACCTGTAGTCTGCTGTATAATCTCAGATTTTTTTATCCTAAAGTAATGCTCATCTTGAGACCAAGCAGCAGAAAAATAGCTGCATGGTATTACATAACAAAGTAGGTGGCTAGCACTATCTCTGTTCCTACCAACATATTAAAATTAGAAGTAAGAAACAAAAGATAATTTGAATCAAGAATAATGCTTGAAAACAAACTAACAAACGTCTACTGAGAGCTTATTGAGTATTGGGCTTAGAACTCTAACAGGCATTATTTGGAAATTAGCCCTTATAACTATAAAAAGGTAGATGATAATACATTCCCATTTCATAAGTAAATAAACAAAAACTCTGTCCATCATCACAAAACCAGAAGGCAAAAGAACCAGGACCACGCCAAGTAACTCCTTGGTTCCTATTCTTAAACACGACTCCCTCTGGGTCAACTGTCACATTTCTGAGCTACTCTGGCATCTCTCATTACAAATCTGTTCAAAGATTCTACTATAAGTTATCTACTAGAATAGTCCAAAGCTGAGGGTGAAGGGGCATGTGGTGTCTAACACAAACATAAGTATAAATCTGGAATTCTGCTGCCTTTTCAAACTTTAAAGTTCAAACCATAGATATGAGCAGAAGGTAGTCAGGAAATGACCTAATACCATCTGACAGCCTTACAGACTTCTTTTGACTAATTCCAAGTGTCAAATTCAACAATGTCACAGCAATACCTGAGATTGTGAGAGAAGATGTTAAATAAAGCTATAGCATCACCTGTGCACATGAAAGTATTAGCATGAAACGGTCTATTCCTAGCACTGACTTAAAATAAATTGTTCCTTAGACATAAGAAATGCAGCAAGAAGTGTGGACACTGGAGTGGAGTATAACTGAGTTCTAAGTTACAAAAACATAACCTCAACCACCATAATTCATAAAGTGGAATTATAAATTATTAGTATCTGCTTAAAAAAAGATCCTGTACACAAACAAAAACTCTTATACCAATTTTATAAATCAATATCTAAACTACTTAAACAATTAAGAACTATGACAAAGAGATCTTAATTTAAAGTGTACCTCTAATATTAAAAGAAAATCCTGAATTAGAACTCATAAAATGAGTAATATATTAAATTTTAAATGCCTATTTTTGAATTACAGATTAACAGAAAATTTAAGAAAGGAAAAAACCACAGCCTTACTAATCTTCAATGCCATGCACTCAATTTTAAACACAGAACAGAAATACATACAGAAAAGGCAAAGGCATAAAAATAAATGAACCTGATATTTTGGCCTTTTTAGGTATATTAGAAATAATTCCCAGGCCATTAGGTGGTACGATGGCTACAGCAGCTAGATCCCATATGGAAAGCCTAGGTTTGAGTCCTCAACCTGGCAGCTTAAAAAACAGGCCAGGCACCTGTATGTGTGACCAAAATCCCAAGAGGAGAATGGAAGAAAAAGGATAGCAGTGTGGTCATCCCCTCAGGGGTGGGGTGGTGGTGGCAATTTCTTACTTTCCCTCTTTCTCTGTCTTTCTCCAAAAAGTACACACACACAATAGTAAAAACTAAAAAGAAATAATTCCCTAGAAGATAAAAGAACAATTGATAAAGAGCAGTAACAATGGTTTCAGGGACAATATAAAAATAAAGGGGGATAACATAGGCAACAGATCAAAGAGCTTCAACTTTGGTTTAACATAATTTAATTACTTAAGCTCTTTAGTATTAAGTAGAACATCATCAATTAGAACCTTGTTAATTCAAGAATCCCTGCTCCTTATTAAAACTGTACCTATCAATTACAATTTTTAAAATGTCATTAAGGAAAAAAGAAAGGTTATAACAAATTGAAGCACCTACATACAAACAAGGTGATAATGCTCAACAATTTTAGCCTAAATAAAATAGGTCTGCCAATATTTGAATTACTGTCACAGAGTTTTATCAAGTTCTTAAAAATAATGAAACCACAATTGTTTTAAAACATTCTGTTATTATTCAGAGTATTCTAAAATACACATGTTGTAAATTAATGAAAATTACTTAAATTTCTTTAGTAATTAAAAATAAACAAAGAAAAAAAAATTTTAAATCTCTTATGAGTGAAGTTATGGTTAAAATTTTAATTGGCATCATGAACCTTTTGATCTTAGCTAATTCCTTAAAAAGGAGCAAACTTCTTTTTTGGAGAGGTTTTTGCTATAGGGCGCGTGCGCTTGCCAGACAGAGACACAGAGACAGAAAGCGAGAAATCACCCCCCGGGGGGATGGTCACGCCGCAATCCCTTCTCCTCTATTCTCCTCTCGGGATCGTGGGCACGCACGCACCCGCGCCCAGCATGAGTTTTAAGCCACCGGGTCTGGGACGCGAACTGCGGTCGACTACGTGGGAGTCCAGCGACATAGCCATTATGCTAACTGCTGGTTCCCCAAAAAAGGAGCAAACTTTTAACCTTAATTTAAAAAAAATCCAAGTCTTAGGTTTTAAAGAACATAAAACTCTGCAAAATCTTTGTATTTATTACTGTTATAAAATGCACGACAGGGCCTGCAGGTGGTGTGGAGGTTAAGGTGACGTGATCCCACATGGCAACTGAGTAGTTCAAGTTCTAGACCCAGGTTGAAAATCACCCCAGGCATGTGTGCGCACTTGTCTAAATGTGGAGAAGAGAATGGAAGTGAAGGGACTGTGGTGTGGCCATCTCCTCTGGGGAATGATGTCTCTCTCCCCCTTCTCCTACTCCCTTTTCCCCCAGTAATTGCACACATCCTATACAAAGCCGTCACCACCACCACAGCAAGTATTTGCTTCATTTAAAGAAAACTAAGTTAATGAAACTATGTTAATCTAGAACATTATTTTTTAAGAACCCCAAGATCAGACCTACCCATGGTAAAGAAAGGAAATATTAGTAAAGGAACTATATGCATTTATCTCACATATGTCCACCTTTTGTGCTAATAGAATAAAACAAACTGGGTAGAACACATACTTTTTCTTGCTTCATTTTACTTTTAGCACCACTGGGGCATTGTTTAATATAAAAATCTAATGAAAGTGGATTAAATTGGTCATTCTAATTTTCATGCACTGACCTATTTTACAAACTGCTATAAACCTGAAGCTGTAACTTTTACTTTTTTATTCTTCACTCAAGATTGCTTACCATTGCCATGTTGGACAGTGATGGACTAAGTGATCTCCAGCTGCAACAAACTATTCCGGATTTAGAAGAAATAGGGAAAAAAAGGAAAAAAGAAAAATTGAGTATCACTGAATATAGGATGGGAAATATCAACTAGTTACCCTGGCCACCTGCTGATCCCCCAAATCCTCTTTTTAAATTATTCTACCATAGGGGCCAGCAGGAGGCATAATGATTAAGGTGCTGGACTCCTGCATGAAAGATCGTAGTTCAAGTCTCGGACTCAGCAGCTTGAAACTCACACCAGATACATATGCGTGCATGCCCAAAGTCCCAAGAGGAGAATGGAGGAGAAGGGACTGTGGCGTGGCCATCCCCCTGCTGGGTGATTTCTCACTTTCTGTCTGTCTCTGGCTGTCTCTCTGGCAAGTGCACATACCCTAAAGCAAAAATCGCTCCAAATAATTATTCTAAGATAAACAGTTTCTGCTTATTCTCAAGAGCAGAAAGCAGGTCTGCTAAACCTAACAGTGGTGTCCGAATTTAAACAACATGTACACATACTTTCCCAAACACTTCTATTTCACAACAGCTCTAACTTAAAATCTTGCATTGGTCTGAGTTTGTTACACGGCAAACAATTACAATACATTTAATCTAGTGCCTTTCTAAGTACATCTATGTAAAATTCTATCAAATAAGAATTCTGAGAATACCCTATTTTAAACGATACATTAACAAGATGAGGTACAGTTTATTTCAAAGTCTTTTTGAAATTTAAACTAGTTAAGACAAAAATCAGGTCAGCCCCACAGCCTAATGGTTAAGGAAATTGGAAACGACATGGGTGACTGTGGTTTGAAATCTGGCCTTGGTGGCTTGAAAAACACACTGGCCATGTGTACCCAAGACCCTGACAGGATGGAAAAAGGAGAAGGAATTCTGGTATTACAATGCCCCACTGGGGTGCTCTGTATATATACATCCTTTCCACTCTTTCAAGTGCATGTGTTTTCTGGCAATTAAAAAATAAAAGGCAAGGGACCAGCAGTTAGCGTAATGGCTATGTCACTGAACTCCCATGTAGTTGACCGCGGTTCAAGTCCCAGACCTGGTGGCTTAAACTCATGCCAGGCACGTGTGCGCGCATGCCCAAGATCCCAAGAGAAGAATGGAGGAGAAGGGACTGCGGTGTGGCCATCAGTCCAGGGGGGTGATTTCTCACTTTCTGTCTCTCTCTCTTTTTCTGGCGAGCACACACGCCTTGTAGCAAAAACCTCTCCAAAATAATAGTGATAATAATAATAATAATAATAATAATAAAGGCAAAAATCAAAATGAAAACAAGTTTTTCTACCAAGTATTAAGCATTTTGTAGTCAGGGCAACCGGATGCTCCATTTAGCTCTGTGGTTTTCAGAAATACACTTATCACCACCAGAAGTAATAATTTAACAAAACAAAGAATACAAAAAAATCCTTTCATTATATTGTCTTGAGATTGCAACTTTATCTACCTATTAATTTTATTTCATGGGCCTTTTGGCATCATCTATTAAAAAATAATAAAAAACATTGGAAGGCAAAGAAAGGTATTAAAAAACAGGGCTAGCAGGTGGTATGGTGATTAAAGTGCCAGATCCCACATAGCCGACTTGACAGTTCAAGACCTGAATCCATCAGTTTGAATGTGTGCATGCTCAAAATCCCAGGAGGAGGATAAGGGAGAAGAGATTGGGATGTGGCCGTCCCTCCCAGGGTGCTGACTTCTCATTTTCTCTCTATCAGTCTCTCTGTGGTAAGCACATGCACCCTATGGCAATTAATATCAGAACAAAACAGAACAATCAGAATTGCACTGATAATCAGTTCATGAGTACACCTGTTCTCATTAGCAAGTAATGTTCAAATGAAATGTATGGTCAAGCAAAATAAAATGTAAAGCAGACTCATTTCTGAATTATCAATATTGCTTGCAGAAGCTTTCTCTTAATGATTAAATATTCTCATGAGATTTATTACCAATGTATAATACTGAATAGCTCCAACAAGACAGACTCAAAATTTATGTTTCAGTGAGCAACTTTATTCCTCAACAGGACCCTATTTAGACAAGTCATTCAGACAATACAATATTAGATATTAGCTGTCCCACTTTTTAAACATAGTACTTCCACATCTCTCTATGAAAACAATAATAATAAAACAGTTGACAGGCAGAAGTCCAGAAATGGGAAGAAGAAACAAATGGACAAATCAACTCTGTGCATCAGTCCCTTGTTTTCGGGGGATAGGGAGGAAATGATTCCAAGATACACGCATCTCAACAGGCCCCCATGGATACCAAATTATGCATATGTTAAACTACTTTATATATTGGGTCATCAGAAAAGTCATGATGCATTTTTGCACAGAAAAATATATCATGATTTTTCAGACAACCTAATAAAATGGCATAGTATTTGCATATAACTTATATAAATTCTTCCACATACTTCAAATCTCTAGATTAGATTATCTAATACAATGTAAATACTATACAGTTGCTATATGGGAATTTTTATTTTGTATTAATTTATGCATTGTTATTTTTTATTACAGTTTTCACTCCCAGTTGGTTGAATCCTGCAGATAGGAAGGGCTGACTGTAGTACATAGTACTCACCCAAAGCAAAAGATCCCTTCCAATTTTCTCCTCAGGCTCATTCTAGTCTAACTTACACTTATAATTGTTTTTTATCCCAACCAGCATTGTGTGCTTGGTATTCGGCTGGGCTAGTTTTGCCTTAGATTTTTTTTTTTTAAATAGAAAATTCATAAATTGCTTCATGATGCAACTAAGTGTTAATAGTTATTCATTTTAGGATGGATTCCTATTTTAAAACAGCTTAATTCTATCTAATGACCACAGATGTGTACATTTAACTCCAACTATCTATTTAACAATTAGTAATCTTCACACACCAGAGATAAAGCCAAAAGAGTACAAGAACAACAACATAATTTTATCTCTAGTATTGCTTTCAGATACTATACTTAAAAAAAATCACATCTTGGGACCAGCAGGTGGTGTGATGGTTAAGGTGCTGGACACTCCCACAAGGCTAACCAGGGTTCAAGTCCCGGACCTGGGGGCTTGCTTTCTCACTTTCCCTGTCTCTCTCTCTCTCTGTATGTGTCTCTCTCTGGTCAAATTAAAATAAATGAATAAATAATTCTAAAAAAAAAACATGTCTTAACTTTATCTTTGTTTGGCAAGAATATTAACATATCCTTAAGATCAAAACAATTTTATTTGGCATTCAAAGTATTAAGCTCATGCAGCCCAAGATGTAAGAGGTTCTTTAAAGAATGTCTAGCTGAAATCCCTCACCTTATAGATGCAAAAACATGAGACCCAGGCCTAGAAGGCTTAACTGACTTTCACAAGTTAAGAGAAATTAAAGAAATGGGTCTAAAAAGTAGGTTCCCAAGGTTTTTTCCATACTACCAATGTTCTTCACAAAAATTAAAGACTTTTGGGAACCAGCAGTTAGCGTAATGGTTATGTCGCTGGACTCCCATGTAGTCGACCACAGTTCGTGTCCCGGATCTGGTGGCTTAAAACTCATGCTGGGTGCGTGTGCGTGCGTGCCCAAGATCCTGAGAGGAGAATGGAGGAGAAGGGATTGCAGCGTGACCATCCCCCCTGGGGGGTGATTTCTCGCTTTCTGTCTCTGTCTGTCTCTGTCTGTCTGTCTAGCGAGCGCACGCGCCCTATAGCGAAAAAACCTCTCAAAAAAAAAAAAAATAAAGACTTTTTACTTTATTTAGTTCTTCCGAGAGAGAGAGATGGCAGGGAAGGAAACAGCCACAACAGGGTCTTCATGCCATAATATATCTCCAGGCTCAGCCAAGGATCATAGGCAGTCAGGGAGACCTTGGGCTGCCAACTCAGGACCTTCCCTTGTGGCCTCAGAATCATGTGTGTGCATTACCACTCTACCACCAGGGCTGGACATTATTTCAAAATGCTTCTTTTAAAACAATGAGTAAAGTTTTATTGTCAATGAGTAGTACTTGCAATGAGAGTTATAGATCAAGCTTAGATAAATTATTTGCCTTTTATTAAGAACAAAATAAGTCTCATGCTACCCTAACTATTCATAAACCTGGAATCTAAAAGGGTTAGCCAAGTATTTATTCCCCTAGGGATAACGAAATAAACCACCTAAATGTAGAGAACTCTTATTATACAGATCTGGTGAACAAGTAAAATGTTTCCTCAAACTATAATCCTATGCTAAAAGTTCAATAAAATATGACTAGCCTATAAAATAACTATTAGTTCCAGCAATGAGCAGTTTCAACATTACTTTGTTGGTAGAAAAAACAAAAGAATGGTGAAAAGAGTCATTGTCCAGGATGTAGCACTAAAATACTTCAGCCGATTTTTTTTTTTTTGAGAGGTTTTTGCCATAGGGCATGTGCGCTTGCTAGACAGAGAGACAGAAAGCGAGACATCACCCCTCGGGGGGACGGCCACACCGCAATCCCTTCTCCTTTCTCCTCTTGGGATCTTGGGCACACACGCACACGTGCCTGGCGTGAGTTTTAAGCCACCAGGTCCGGGACACGAACTGCGGTCGACTACATGGGAGTCCAGAGATATAGCCATTACGCTAACTGCTGGTCCCCTTAAGCCGACTATTAAGGAAAAACTTAAGGGCAAGCTCTAAAGTGCAGGAGTAAAATGCTGCTCAAGAGAACATGGAAACCTTAGTTTGACCCCCTGGTCTTATAAGTCTGAAACATGATGCCATGTATGTAACTACCTAGGATGGATCCAATGGGATGGAACACTAGAAGAAGGGAACTGTGGTGTTAGCAGATCCTGCAGAGTGTACTCAATTCTCTCTCTCTCTTTCTCTCTCATATATGTGCTTTTTATGAAAAAAGAAAAAATCTTTAAAAAAGGAGGGGGAGATTTATCATCAAAGCAGTGAGCAAAATTTCTAAGAAAGCCACGAAAACACACACTTCGTACAGACAGAACCAAGACATAGTAAACACTAACAGCCCACTGTAAGGCTCAATATAACACAAATATGAGTGAAGAATGAGTGAACATAAAAAGCTTCTCCATTTCCTCTGCTACCCCATTCATAAATAAAGAGGAATAGAAAAATACATGAAGTGGCAAACTGAGGGAAATAACATCTGCATTTCTATGAGAAGTAGAAATCTCCACCTATCATTAATATAGTCAGCAATAGCTAGTTTTATTCAAATCCTAAAGTTTGAAATTTTTTTCTTTCTTTTTGGAGAAATTTTTGCTACAGGGCATGTGCACTTGCTGGAGACAGAGAGAAACAGAAAGTGAGAAATCACCTCCTAAGAGAAATGGTCATGCCGTAATCCCTGCTCCTTCATTCTCCTCTCTAGATTTTGGGCACACAAGCACACACACCTGCCTTGAGTTTTAAGCCAGGACTTGACCCACAGTCTACTATGTGTAAGTCCAGCAATGTAACCACTACGCCATCTGCTGGTTCCAAGATGTTTTCTTATAAAGTACAAAAGCCACCCAGTTTAATATAATTGTAAAACAGAAAGTATTTTCAACACTTACTTCTTCTGGGGTGATTACACCTGTTTCCTTAAACTTTGATTCCTGAAAAAGAGTAAAAAGAGTAAGAATATTAAACTCTCTCTCATGTTCATAAAAGTTATTTTGAAACATAGAAAATGTTTATGAAGTAACTATTACCCGGCACTCTTTTAAGCAATGGAGTACATACACTCACAAATACACACATATTTGCTTTGCATGTATAAATGTACATGTCTGTAGATATGTGCATATATATCTGTATATGTGTCACTGGTACCGAATCACCAAGGAAGATACTAGTTTAACGCAAGAAACTTACATAAAAATAATTACAATACAATTTGATCAGTGCTATAACTAAGCAAAGCTCTATGGAAAACAATGGTTTAAATAAAACATAAAGCTTTACATGATTCTGTGAAATGACCAAATACCTTTATTTTACAGTACAGTAAAAATGTTAAAGATATCTAAACATTTTAGAATTTAACTAGTCTTAAACTGAATATGAATAAACTGAATAATATAAATAAATTGAAACTAATTTCCAAGATGTTGATTTAATATCCTCTCCTCTAAAGCAAGGATACTAATAACTAAAGTTTTCTTAATCTAAAGTTCTAGGTAAGATTTACAGTCTACAAAAATGAAAAAATCATTTATGAACCTTCCTTATTCAACAAATATGTATTACTATGTGCCTGGCACTATTTTAGGCAATGGGGACACAGGTATGAATAAAATAGACCAAAGTCACGCCTGCCTTCACAGGGAATTTAAAGCTCAGTTGAGAAAGAAACCCAAATGATAAGACCATTCCTTGAAGAAAAATGAAGCAGAGAAAGAACTCTAGGTGGTAGGGGAAAAATGGCCATTTTAAATAGGATGGTAAGAGAGCAAAACTTCACTGATAAGTGATATGAAAACCTTAATGAACAAGCTTAAGGTTGTCTGAAAGAAGAGCATTTCACAGACACAGTAAAGTACAAATGCAAAATCCCAGAAGCAAGGGTATACTTGATGGAGTAATAAAGAGAAGGTCAGGTTCGCTTAAGAAAAAGTGATCATAGGAAAGAATGGTAGAAGAGATTGGCGCCTGCACTAATCAAGTAAAAACTGATTTTTTTAAAAAAGCTGTTGCATGGTTATTTTGGCTTTTACCACATGTGTATCTTCCAAATGAATTATGACTTTTCTTAATTTTTACTTGTAAAGATAAGGTCATTACTTCTTTAGGGGATTTTGTATTTCCTCCTTGTCTTTCGTGATCCAGTAGGAAACTATAAGGGAGCCCAGCAGTTGGTGTAATGGCTAAGCCACTGGACTCCCATGTAGTAGACCACAGTTCAAATCCCAGACCCGGTAGCCTAAACTCACACTGGGTATGTGTGCATGCATGCCCAAGATCTTGAGAGGAGAATGGAGGAGAAGGGACTGTGGCATGGCCATCCCCCCTGGGGGTTGATTTCTCACTTTCTGTCTCTCTGTCTCTCTGGGGAGCACACCACCCTATAGCAAAAACCTTTTCAAAAAAGAAAAAAATAAGAAACTATAAGGATTCTCTCTGTAAACCAAAGGTATGTACAGACATAACAAAGAGAGTCATTCATTCTGCTATTTTAAAAATCATACTGACATGCTAATGATTCCTATTCAGTTTGAGCAAGAAAAATGATTCCTTAAAACACGATTCTACATTTAGGCTCAATAAAATTCAACTGGCCTATGAAATAGCCATTTTATATTTAATTTGAGAAGTTTCTTGTTCTTCTTTCCCTGAAACTAAAGTTGTAACTTTGGCCAGATGGTGGCACAGTGATAACACAACTGGACACACAAGGGTTTAGTCCTGGGTTCACATTTTGGACTTCCCTGAGCAAGCATGGGCACACCCAGGATCTGGGCCACTGAGACTAGGGAAAACTGTGGCATGACGACTATTGGAAGTCTCTCTTTCTCTCTTCTCTCTCCCTCCCTATTTCTCTTTCTTTCATGGAAGAAATTAATAACCTGAAAAAAAAAGTTGTAACAATTGTTATTGAAATCCTATATGCCTAGGTAGATATGCTATTCTGAAAGTTATGCTAACTTTGCATATTACAATATGCAAAAACATTTTATTCAAATATCAAAATCATTTTCCAATTTTAAAGGTGACTGAACAATGTAAATTGACATCTTTCACTGTAAACAAATATAAGCAATCTTGAGTTTTTCTTAACTAGACTCAACAAGGTGTCTTTTATGACTCTTAGAAATAGCAAAAAGTACAAACCTAACATTTTCCTTTGTCATGGAAAAGGAACAAAGTAAAACTGCCTCCTATTCTAGGTATATCAGAGTATTTCATTACCTGTATAATTCTTATTTACAGGTTATTTTTTTAAAAAAACTAAACAGGAACTTGCCACTCATCTACTATTGTCACTCATTTTTCAAAAAGCAAAAATATAACTAAAACATTAGTTATGAGAGAACAACATGAATGCAGGTCTTTAAGTTTATCTATGGAAATAAAAGTCTGTAATAGTATATCACAATTTTTACTTTAAAAATGGTGTACTGTTGTCAACATACAAAAAACTCCACACCCATGAGGGTCAAGCTGCTCCTCCATCTCTGAAGTACAAGACTAGGGACAGCTAACTGAAAAGCTGGGGAAAGAAGTTCTGCAGGTTAGGTAGGTTCAGCGTCACTGATTGAGACGTTCCAAATTTCCCCTTGTTACTCTGAGATCCCATCAAGCTGAGCGTCAGTCACAACTCACCTCTTTCCTATTTCTAACTCTAAGAGACTTTCCATGTCACTTGAAAGGAAAAGGTGACATGTCATTGGAGTACACGCTTTTCATTTTTTTTAAGTGATAAGCCAAATCTCTGTTTAAGAAGTTGAGAAGACTTCCGATGTTCGCATTTAACGCTATTTCGCGGCCCACCACCTTCCAAACCCGACGTATCCAGACGCGAGTTTCGACCGGTGAGGAGCCGGGAAGCCCTGAAGAGCGGCTGGTGGGACCACTGGAGCGGGCTGGACCCCTGCCCGTGTCACCCCCGTACCACCTTCCTGCAGCGCTCCCCGCCAGAGAACGTGGGATCCCTCGGGCGCCCGGTCCTGCCTGACAGCCCTGCGGCCGGCCGGCTTACCTTGAGGACCGGGGTCAGGTACTCAGCCACTTCCAGAGCCTTTCCCTTCACCGTGTTAATCACATTCTGCATCGTGGGGCCGGAGCAGCGGCCGGCCCCGCGAACGGGTGGCAAAGGCGGG